GGTGAAATAAAACTTAGGTCAGTACTAGGGCTGCATCGGATTTGTAAGATATATATTCTGACTTTAGATTCAATATCGATGCTTTTGGGTCTTTGGGACAATGAGAAACTATGCCAACAGATGGCGCTTATTACTATCCTTCTTTTTTTTAGTAGTCAAAGGTTGAAGCACTGGTCGTCATTTATTTCTGCCACCAGTGTTCAAGTCTTTATTTAATGTATTTGACAACCCTATACAATACGGAGACATCCACCGCATCGCGTGCTTACCTCGTAGTTAACAAACAGCGGCAAATACTTATGTAAGCCGCTAATCACACTTATACTGCTTGTTTCTGTTATCGCATGCTCAAAGTAACGAAAAATGCCAATCTTTATGAAGTATTAAGTAAATCACGTAAACTTTGCAAAGGTTTTTAGTGCGAGAATATTGATTATGAAAGAAACGTCCGCTTTTTTATGTACTTTTGACTTTTAAAGTACAATATTAAAAAGTACGAAATACGAAATTATTTATTCTCTTTACATATTCCTGCTAACTAACTGCATTTCCACTGACGAAATAACACCTGTACGGAAACATTTTGTTGCCTCTTCTGGTATCAATGGAAACCCACGACTAACTTTATCGTCTATCTAGGTTTAAACGACTATTGATTTCTTTTACATTCGGGCTCGCAAGTATTTTTTTCGTCTATCGTAGTATCTACGTTATTATTCTATTTCAATAGATTATAGGTAGTAATTAGTTGACAAACTAGGTTAATTTTTTTTAATGCTGAGATGGCTGCCAGTTTTCAAATCAGCGGAATTGGATTCAGTCTTCTTAAAATATGTATGGACTAGCATTTTAGTTAAATAATCTCACTTTCTCATCTTTTAAACAGTAAATTGCATTGGCAACTTTACACGCAATATTTTTTATATTGCAACAACATTTTACAACTTCCTATTCTAACGAAGAAAATATTTGTGTAAATCATTCAAATAAACACAAACACAAAAACAATAAGGAAAGTAAAATCGTAATTTTTATTATTTGTAAAGATTCCGTTGTGATGGAGTGCTCGATGTTTTTAACTTCGACGCAATCGAGTCACTTCCGGCGCGAGGAAGTCAATTGACATTCTAACGTCCACATTATTTATCGATTTTTGCAATAATAGTCATCTCGAAATTCTTTTTCACTAAATTTGCTTTTATATAAAAATAAACAAAATATCCTACATCTGTGTAGTGGAAACTCACGGAGAGACAATTTACGCATAGCAAATTGTTAAATTGCTATGCGTAAATTACTGTTTAATACAACAAGTAAATGGAACTAAATTATTTTGTTTAGATAATGTTGTATGGAGGCAAGAGCATCTCTCGGGATTGCTAAAGAGATTGCTTCTCACTCCATATGATCAATAACATAGTTAGATGTTACATACACGGATATAAATAACAAACACTAATAACTGAAACGCCTCCTTAAACGGATTGTTCGTAAATGTTAAATTAAATTAATTGTTATTTATCCATCGATAGAAGTATCGGTGCCATATTTTTCTTATTTTATTGGATAATTAATTTAATTTTTTCTTGTTTCATTCGCGACCACTCTTCGTCGTTCAACGTAAATGATTGCGAGGTCGCGACCGTGGGACCTTTTCTGATTAACCAGAGACCTATTCCCTATTAAACTCTGTCGCAAATATAAATGTCCCTACAAAGTACAATTGTTTTTTAATTTAACTAAATCCCAAATATATTAACATAATATTAATACGACAAAACAATAGCTCTATGGTTATGTGAAGATAATCAATAAAATCTTAGCTAATCAGGACTCACTTAAAATTTAATAAGTCTATTATTATGTCCCTGAAAAATTAATAATAAAGGCACAAAAACTGGACGCTACCACGTGTATAAAATAATCACTTTGATTTCAATCAACTATTAACATTTATTGATGACAATTAGTCTGTCTTTTAATAGTCTGTATAACGCGAGTCTATATTAAAAATGTATTCGATAGAAATTGATAACATACACAGGTAGTATCGACCACTCCTACAGACAATTCATTGCCAAAACTCCGCCTACACAAATGTTTTTTATGATCCTTTATAATTAAAAAGTATATATATAGTTAAATCAATAAAAAAATGGTATTATTTTTTAACATTGTTATCTGTTTCATTCTTAAATCGTGTCCAAAATGTTAAATATAACTTGTACAGTGTTTTAATAATTAAAATCTTACCAATTATATTTACAGTTAATTATATATACACTACCCAAAAACTGAAATAATACGTCATGTTGACGAATATTGATATTGTCGCAGCGACTCTGTGGGAATTGACCAAATGTGTTTAAATGAATTAAAACCCAAAATAACGTAATTTGTTATGTGTGCTGAAGGTCGCGGACATTGTAATGTTATCTATAAATAATATCAACAGACGATTAAATAGTGTCTTCTACGAGTAATTAAAAAATATGTAACAAATCACACCTTTTCTTTGCCGCATTGATTAAGTTTAAATCTTTATATATTTTTTTTTACACCCCTAAAAACAAAAGCCGATATACAAGCACATAAATTATTATTGATAGTTTAATGGAATTAAAGGTATGGGCGATGTTTAACAATACATGCTGCGTTATTACAGAAAACCTTCAAACTATTTGAGTGACGCTCCTAATGCAAACTACACACGTTAGGTTATATGTACCTTGCAGGCATAACCGACAGGCTTACTCGAGTGTCATAGTTTAAATAATTGTACAGTTTTGATTTACAAACGTTATGTACACAAAGAGATTTAAGATGTATACTACATATTATATTTGAATCTCTTTGTCTGTATATTACGTGTGTAAAATCAAAACTGTCATGCAAAACCTAACGTCTGTGACAGGTTTAAATGTTTGAACAGTTCATCAAAGGCGGTCAGTTAGAATTGCCCTTTTGTTTGAACTGTAGATAATTTACAGTAACCTTTTAGTTTTCCAGTTTATTTGTACGAAAGCTGACAGTAATTGTATGATTGTATGATGTTAAAGTAAATTGTATTGACATTTACGATTGAAGTTTATTTCTGAAGCGGTTATTTGTATGTGTTCAAGACGGTGAATAGTTGATTTTGCTTTGAAATTTTTTCATGTTTCTTAATTTACATTAAATAATTTGTTATGTCAATTCTTGTTTTTTAGACATTATTTTATTTCAGATCTAGCAGATGGCAGCACTGTTCAACCCGAGCCAGACAGAACGTCGCAGAAGAAGGAAGTGGCCTCGCCCCCTGCGCCCCCCGCTCCCGCCGCCACAACGTCGCGCATCTCCGCGGGTGAGAGTGGTAAAGCGATCAGTTGCAGTTAACGCAGGTTTACACTGCCGTAACATTTGAAAATGGGGGATATGTTTTTATGCAGATATGGTAGTGGTAACATAATTATTTATCATCATGTACACATGAAATAGAGGTGAATTTATTGTTTGTAAATAATATTAACACAAATTAATTACAAAAATATATCGTTTTACGGTTTGGTAAATCGTATCACTTTTAATACAGGAAACAAGTTCATTTACTAAGTTATTTCAGTACCGTATATAAACTCGTGGTAATTTTGAGATCATTTTGTTTAATATAAGTGCACATCTGAACTGCAGTTTAAATTAATTTTGAAGTTGAATTGTTTTAACGAAGTCTTAAAAAAACATTTTAAACAAAATGAAAACGAATCAGTAAGTTGGAATAAAAGTTATGAACAAAGGCTCAGAGACTAAATGAATGATTTCTATAAAGACTTGACAAATTTGTTCACATAATTACTGCGCAGAGATGTGTTATGAATTTCAAATGTTAACCTTTTTGCTCAGTTATCTGTACACTCAAAAAGATCCCATAATTCAAAGGACAAACTTCATTGTGAATAAATTAAACACAATTTATTAACGCTCGTGTAAACATTTATTTAATATGAGTCTAAATCTATCATAAACTAACATAATGTAAAATAAAAATTAATATTTTAGCACCAACAAGGTGCAGGTATTTTTTTCAAATTCCACCAAAACTAGAAATATTTAAGTGAATAATAAAATACTAATTGCTTCATAGATACTAATTCACGATTATACCATTATCGTCAATTCCAAGCCCACATTTTTAACCTTGATTCAAAAAGGCTTTATTGACAAAAAATTGTATTGAAAATAGTATAGAAACCTAATACACTGTGAACCAAGGCGTTGTGTCGTAGTATACCATGTCGGAAGTAAATTGAGAAGGTAAAAATGCGTCCAGCATCTGCCGGCTACCACAAGGCAAGTTATGTCATGGTATAAGGTTTCAACTCGTTTGCAGAGTGGTCGGGCGCGACGGGCGGACCCCCCGCCGAGGTCGTGCTGCGTCTGCACCCCACAGACTCACCCCCTCCCCCGCCACCCACTGGCAACTTCTCTCTTCTCGATGTCGGTCAGTATGACAATCTTATAATTGATAAAAAATAGAAATGTTGTTTTTGTTCTCGCGTGTTGGTATTCTCTATCCTAAGCCATTGATTTTGTTATTCCATCTATTATAATATGTTAATTTCATCTTACTTAACTTCAGTATCACAAAAATCTGTGTCCTCTTTACACGTCGCTAGTTACATACGTCCCTGCCAAGGGGCTCGAGACTTTCATAAGTTGAAGGACTTTGCTTACTATGTCATTGTTGTCTGTAGAGGACGGGGGCGTGGTGGTTCGCGCTGAGGAGGCGCTGATTGTTAGCTTTGTGCTGCTGCTGTGGGCGGCTGCTATCGCGCTCTTCTTTAACCGCTGGGGAAAGATCAGGTGTGTCACCTGTACGTAGTTGCAAGCAATGTTTGAGATTTGGGAACACTTTAATTCTGCTAAGACATGTGTAAAACCAATCCTTCTCATATATAAATTGAGATCATTATTTTTCTTTTCAATTTTATAGAAACAAATATATTATTGAAAACATTTGGCAGGATGCTGGAGCCGTATCAACCGAAGTTCCAACAGCAACATCGACAGAGTTGCGTACTCACTGAAAATGCAGTGTCTGTACCATCACATGTGAGTCTTGATATTTCGTTATTTTTAAAATTTCTAAGACATTGTATTGGAGTTAAGAGTCTAACATTAAAGTTTTGTCCGTCTTTGCTATTTTTTATTACTAACCAATAGCTAAAATTTCTAAATTTCTAAAGAGTATTTATTGTAGCACCGAGCCTCAATGTCGCGCGCCTGCATGTCGTACGACTACGGCCCTTCCTTCACTTCCTACCAGCCCTACGCCTACCTCTCGCATAGGCCCAGACAGGTACGTACTCAGAGTTCTTCTAATTTTTTTAGACTAACTTTAAAACTGAAATCCTGGCTTCAGTGCTGCATTGTAGTTTTGTCTTATTTTTAAGTTTATCTTTCACTTTCACTATCTTAAAGTATAGGTATTTTCCAGAACTCAGTATTCGTGGGCAGCGTGGGTGGCGGCATGGCATTAATTCCAGAAAGTCCACCACGGAGGTCGCGCTCCGCAGCAGACCTGCCCGCGCTGGTGACTCCCGCAGACCTCTCTCACACAACACCGAGGTCCTCGCGCGCGGCCAGCCTACACAGCGCCGTGGACCTCAGGGTCTGCGTGCCTTCACCCCGGACCTCCCGAGCGGCTAGTCTACATTCGGGTGACGTGCACAGCTCAGTGCAGGTCCATGTTCGAGGTTCGGGGAATAATTTAAATAGACCTAAAAGCCCAAGAAGACTAACTATCACAAATGTATAGATTTTTATGTTTAGGGTTAAAGTGTTGTGAAGGACCAATTATGTTTGCAAGGAATTATTAATTTAATTAAATTAATATTTACCTTTAAGTGTGGGAGTCACAGCCGGAGAATACTTTTTCAAATAAAACATAGTCTTCTTTAACTCATATATTTCCTTTAGAATTGTAAACAACAACTTTTTCAAAAACACCGCTGTTACATTGTCATTCTCATTCCCCGAATGTCAGAAAAACATGGCCGTCATTCAGACGAGCAATTACAATACTTTTAATTTACGATAACGAAATACCGTCAGATAATTAACATGATAAGTTGTATACTTCTATTTTATATTTGAGAATCAAATATTTAAATAATCTTTTGGATCGTAATACAAATGATTAATGTTGTTATATTAAATAAACAAAAGTGTTATTGACTTATAGCATAGACTAAATAACGTTTTACGTTAAGGAATTACAGAATATATGAAATGGCTTACAGCTCGGCCTTCCTGCTAAAAGCGAGTCCCTTCGCTTGTAGTTATTAAACACTTGTTGAATATACATAAAGAATACATCGTTCGATCACAATCGTTAACTGTTTTAACATCAACTTTAAAAAACTATTAGTTGTTTTAATTAAACTAGACTAATAGGTTACCAATTAAATATGAAATTATAAATCGAACAGTAACTTTATAAATTTGAACATTGGCTTTGTACTAGGTCGACCTATACAAATAGGTTAGATCTTTATTTTCATTATTCATCTCCTCTTTACTATGATCATCTTGAACAATTCAATAAATCCGGTTATTTATGAATGTTGTGAACATCTAATTAAATCTGAATCTTAAAGCATTGCCTTAATCGTCTTCGACTTTTCATCGAATAACTGGACAGAGGTGATCCATTCTTGTTTCCCATCCTCGACAGCCGAGACATAAACACACGTAAGGAATTCAAGTTCAACTCTCTCAACTGGGTCGCGGCTCTGACACATTCGAACGAACGCCAGCTAATTCGCCCTTACACGCACCACCGTAGAATTGTGCTCCGGCGGTCATTCAGTCAACATTTCCTTCCACGTTTGAGAAACAGGACTCCACTGCCACGCAATGATTATTCTTTTATCCCTTTTTAAAAGATTACTTCACTGATCTTCTAATAAAACCTAATATTTAATTAATCTTCCAAAGTATCCAGTGGTCAAGATATCCATCCAGTTCGCGCTGGTTTATAGGTTTAAAAAAAACCTCTGATACAGCCTCGGTTCCATGGTAACCAAAATGAACTTCGCTTGCACTCGTAGTCAAGAAAATAAACAGCGTAGAGGAAAAAAAACGACAATTCCTCCGCCACTAAGCCGCTCCAGAACCTTACCAACCACTGCAACTCCTCAGTTACATCCATAGAAGCGATAACGAAACATCCACACCAAATCTTGGCTTCGAACAGTATTCCATCAATAGTCTGCTGAAAACGACGTTCGACGACACGCTCACCAACACGAACGGGATTCGATCGTATTTAAACTGATCAATGAACGCAGTTCCATAGCACGACTCTTCAGTTATTGATACCTGGCAAAACTAGAGACCAGATCCAGACAAGTGAAAACCTTGATGGCCGAAAACCGGTACAATTGGTCTTCAATTCGGAGGAGAGTACAGCGCACTATCCTGGTCCTGCAATCCATAGCGCGGCGGTCCACACATATCCGTTCATTGACCGTTTTTTTCTTGATCCAAGATGGAAGCATACTTTTCAGCAAAGAACGAACCGGAACCTGGATAACCACCTCCACTAAACTTGTGAAACCTGGGAATGCAGCTGAGAAGCAACTCTTCTTTTCAACTCTCTTGTTCTTCAGTTCTTAAATTATTCTACAGTTTAAAATTGTGATTCAGGCATACAATAAAGGGTGACGATTTCCATATAAGTCAGAACCAAAAGAAGGTAAGTGACTGCAGAGCACCCAAGCTTCTAGGAGAAAGTCAACTTTCTGGTTCCTCTGGACGTAGATCATGCAAAAGACGAAATTGGGAAGGTTGAACAATGCCCAACGAGATCTCAAAAATATCGGCACTGACTTGAAGAAATTTACTGGATCAGGCCCAAGCCTAACCGAGTCTGTAGTGCATCTGGTGATGATGGACTAATTAAATTATTAATTTAGAAACAAAAAGAAATGTTAACCACATTCAACATCAAAACTTTAGCTAGCGTCGTGAAATATTGTATTTCTTATCACGCTCCTCAAGATTTGGCAATAAATATCTGTATTGATACATACATAAATAAAATATATTATATTATATATTTTAATGATAAACATCAAACCGCAGTATTGACTTGGCAAGACAAGGGTCTTTAAATGTTGAAGAGATGGAAGTTTTTTTTGTCTTCCTCTACCTTTGTAGCCATCCACATTCAATCTCATTACTTCTTTTTTTTTTATATCGTCATCATGCCTCCGCATAACATGCCCAAACCATAGTAGAGTGAATAGGCACTTACTAAGCTAGCGCGTACCATCTTTCGACCAAATCTCCACTTCACCAGGTGGGATCGTGGTCAAGCGCTAGCTTACAAAACGTAAAAAAAAACCGCGCTAATCTTTTACTCCTCAATTTCTCGATCACTGGCGCTGCTCGAACACAAAAAAAATCTTTTTTTGTTTATTATGAACATATCTTTAATCAGTTCAATACATCGCGCGTCGCATCACTGGCAGTCTTGTCTTGTATACCATACTTTTTAACATTTTAACTCCTTTCATTTGAAATGATATATATTTTAAGATAAAAACATGCTTTAATTAACTTTTTTTTTTTTAGTTTACATATATTTCCGATAATAAACTTTTTCAGTTAATTATAATGACTAAAATATGTTGATTATTATGTGTATTTCACGTTTTGTTAGGTTTTTGGTCTTGTCTAGAAGACCGTGGCTCACATAGCTTTCTTTGCTTGTCTTGTATACAAAATTTTTCTGTCAAAACTCAACACCAGCAAGTCTGATATCGTTTGTATACCTTTCATGCACCATCCATCAATACTCATGACAGAGAAATCCAAATTGCCACGTCATTGAAAACTAGTTGTAGCAAATGGATCACTATACAGCATCCAATCCAGCTTTTGGGAATCTTTTTTTGTGTAAGCATCCAACATTTCCAAAGGTGGTACGGAAAGCGTCTAACACCTAAGAATTCGTTTAAAATTTAAAATGGCTCTTATGAGCTATCATAACTTAAGATTTACAAAATGCAGCACTGAATCAATTTACACTTTTATTTTGTTTAAATTTTCAAATTGTACTCGCACGAAAAACGTATCCTCTCCAAGATTAATTCAACCATCCGATAGGTTATCGATAATGGGCCAAGACCACTCCTCGCTTCGTATTCTTCTCGGAATATACAACATTTATTTCCGGCTGTACTCCATATAACTCCATGTCTCCAGCAGTTCTATACACCTTGAACCCTGACCGAGACTCGCGTTACAACTTAAACTTCGCCCTCCGACGCAACCTGGCCATAATCCATGCTACTAAGACCGGGCTCGCTTTCAGATGTCATCATCTCTGTTTCCGATACATATGGAACTTTTTATACTTCTTTTTACTTTAAATTTTTATATCTATAATGTTATGTTATGTTATGTTATGAATGAGTTGTAAACAAATCTTCATACAGGTGTGCAAATACCTGTCTTTTCCTCCGTTTTATAGTATTTTCATTTTCGTTAATTATTATTAACTTTATTATTTTATTTTCC